TAATCCCAGCTCTTGGGAGGCTGTAAACAGGCAGATCACTATGAGTCCAATCTAGTAGTGAGGCCCTGAACACCCTGGAGACCCTTCCCTAAAAATAAAAAAATAAAAAAACAAAAATAAAAATGAAAAATAGAGACATAAGAAATATTCACAGATAGGAACTTCAATCTAATTCTTTCATTTGCAAAAGCTATAAGGGGCCTTTCAGCACCACCATGTTGTATTTCATGTCTAACAGCTTCAAGTTTTTATGCTACTTGGATGAGGCCTCTGTGTCCCTGACTGTAGATAATATAGTATTTGTACAAAAATAGCTTATCATTGTAGAAGAGGTGATTTTCAGCAGTGTAATGAAAGGTCTACAACACAGAATTCTTCCCTGCCTTCAGGTAACTTCACTTCATTAAAGCACAGTAATAAATAATCTCTTTGGTAGATGCACTACTAAGGTACACTTAATATGCGACGCTTAAAATGTCAACTAAGAAAGCATATTCATTATCTTATCTGAAGAGTGCGCTTTCAAAAAGAAATCAAACTGAGAAAAAGTGCGATTCTGACATATTTGACATCAGTAATTGCCAAGTGCCACATTTGAGATTCGAATTCTAGCCAACCAAGAAACATACTGTAACCTATAGATGCATAACAAAAATCCGCACGCCTCTGCACGCTGTGGGCTGCTTCACAGCCTGTAGACAGCACACATAAGTTTGCTTATGGTCAGCTTTGAGACACTCACCCTGTCATCAATTACAACCAAGTCTTTTGGTTCTGTTCTGTCAATCTTCAAGACACGATACTTGGTTTCTGCATGGTTGCTCCCGACTAGAAAGTACCTCTGTAAGGAAAGGGAATGTCTTTAGTTTTTAATGACATTTTGCCCTAAACACATTTTATAACCACTGCAGTTCTTCAAAATTAATGAAGTCAGATTCCTTTTGAAAGAATATTTCTGGGGGCAAGAGAGATAGCTCAGAGGCATAAGCACCTACCTGGCAAGCACAAGGACCTGAGTTCAATCCCCGGCGCCACATGCCATACTATCTCAGCCCCAGATCCCCAGGCACCCACTGTGCAGCCCTGGAACAGGGCATGGTGGCACACACCTGTAATCCCAGCACAGGAGGTTGAGCCAGGAGGATCTCTGCAAGTTCAAGACCAGCCTGGGGGCTACAAAAGTGAATACAAGGCCAGCCCGAAATTCATAAAGAGACCCTAATCTCAAAAATAAATAAATAAATAAATAAAATTTTAAAATTCTGTTAAGCAAAAATGGCAGATTCCAAAAAGCCAGGTCAAGGGCTTGGGGATGTAACTCAGCGGCATAAGCACCTGCCTGGCAAGTACAAGGTCCCAAGTTTAATCCCTGGTACCAAAAATAAAAAAAATATTCTCACTGGCTTCAGGATAAGTACCAGTCTGATGCCTGAAATATGGCAAGTTACATATCAGATTTAATTTCTTTATATTACAAAATTAGACAGTAAACTAACTAGAGTCCACTATTCAAGCTTTGTTAGAAAAAAACTGCCCTGCTAAGAATAAGAAAGCTCAAAACACAGGAAGCTTAAACAACTACAGTTACTAAAAACTGACTGCTCTTCAGGTAAATCTTCAAACATTTTAAAACTATAAAAACAACTTTACTACAACTATAAAAAGTTTACTACAAAGTGTTCTAAAATATTAAAATGGTTAAATGTTCTTAAATGACCTTTCATAGATAAGCTACAAAAAATAACAGCTTTCTTTCCAAAAATACTACCTTCAAGCGTTACATACTTCCTTTTTTAATGCATTTGGTACAGGGTCTCACTACGCAGCTTGGACTTACAGTGATCCTCCTGTTCTCGGCCTCCCCAGCACTGGGACTGCAGGTGTGCACCACCATGCAAGGTCTCATGGCCGGCTCAGAGCACCCAGGTGCAGGGCCAGCACAGCATGTGGTGCCAGGGATCGAACCCTGGTCCCTGCACTTGCCTAAGCAGGTGCTTAGCTCGCTGAGCTATCTCAATGGCTCTCAAGTGTTATACTTGAACACAGTAACATTAGTCTTCTTAAATGAATGCTGAGAAAGAAATAATTAAAATGCAATTAATATTTAATTAAGACTGCTTTTAAGAAAAACAAGAGATATTTTGGGGATGCTGGATTCAAACCCAGAGCCTCTCCTACATAGGAAGCACACACACTGCCACTCAGCAACAGCCCTGCCCCTAAGTGAACTATTTTTAGTTATTTTCAAGAAGTAAAATCCTGGGGCTGGTGAGATGGCTCAGTGGTCTAAAGCACCTACTTAGAACAAGCTTAGCAAAGTACAGTGACCACCGCGGTTCAATCCCCCAGCACCACATGCCAGCCCGCCCCGCCCCCTGGTGGGCTGAGCTGGCCACACACACACACACACACACACAAATAAATAAAAATTTTTTTAAAAAAAGGAAGTAAAATCCCCTTAACAAAAATAATTCAAAGATTTCTGCTATATGTGCTTTAAAAAGTGGCACTTCTTTAACATTACAAAAATTGAAACGACACTGCCACAATCAACTGACATTAGTTATATACGGCACATGTAAGGCTCTAACTGGACCTGCCTCCCACAGCCCCCAATCCCCAGCTCCCAGCTCCCAGCCCCCAGTCCCCAACTCCTAGCCCGCTTGCCAACAGCAGGACCTCAGCAGGGAACTTAGCTCAGCACTTAGGCTGTCACAGACAGGCACACAATGTCAAATAGAGGTAAGAGAGGACAAGGAATTTTGTAATTTCTGGGACATCAGGGGACACCTGAAATTTTACACAGAATGCTTCAAAGACTCTGCCCACTGAGGCGCAAGACCACCAGAGGGCTCTGGCCACAGGTGTTCACTAAGGTCACCCCACCTGGGGCCCCTGCCCGCTCTCCATCCCTGTGAAAGGGGCGTGCTTTTCTTTGTTCCCTGTAGAAGGTCTTTGGCTTTCAGCCCACCTGCACCCAGGTACCTTTCCACCAGCCTGATGGTCTCTGCTAGTGCCCTCCTCCAGTGTGTTATACACAAAGCAATTGATAACAAATACGAGCCACACAAGGGTGTGGGCCTTGGGAAACCAGGACAGAGAAGATAACTGGGGCTTACTAGGGATGTGGAAAATGGCAGAAGGGGCAAGACCAGAACTGAGACTTTAAGAATGTGTAAGATTTTGCTGCATATCAGAATGTGCCCACGTGCTTTTCCTCTTGTAGCTCTAAGTCTGCAGGAACAGATGGGCTTTTATGACATACAGTCATGTGCCGCATAGTGACCTTGGTCTCTGGAGGACCCCATGTACAATGGTGGTCCCCTAAGACGATAGCACTTAATGTTGTCAGTTTGTTCGTGCCTACTCTGAAACGCTGCACGATGACGACCTCACCGATGGATCCGTTCCTGAGAACGTATCCCTAAGTGGCCATGACTGTGGATGTGCTTATGAAGGTCTAACATACTTGAAGGTACTGAAGAGCAAACTAGGCTAAGAGATCACAGCCTAGTCCTCACAGGAAGGTGGACCAAAACCTCGACCCTTCCCCTGCAGCTCTGACACAGATGGCACCACGGCTATAACACAGGGGAAATCAAGCAGCTATAGAAGTAACGAGTGAACTAAATCCAGACACACGGTAACAGGACTCCAAGTATCGGTGGGTGCTCGAAGGCCAGGGAAATGGGAAAACGAGATCAGACCACCTATCCAGTCACTTTGCTCTCTTTGCTTAGACAAATACCCTACTCTCAAAATTAAAGGAGGGAAGGATTATTTAGCCACAGTTTGTAGAGGTTTCACAGTCCATAACTGGCTGGCTCCAAGGCCGAGCAGCATGGCAGAGGGCTGCAGGTTCACGGCAGCAAAGACAGCCAGACAGCAGAAGTGTGCAAGGCGGGAGAGCAGCCTCACTCTGCCCCTTACTTTGTAAGGAGCTACCTGCCCTAGGGTGGTGTGGCGTTCACACCCTTAATCCCAGCCAGAACTATGCCAAACCACCAGTGGAATGACTTTCTCATCACATTCCCTTAATGCCAGTATCACACACTCCAGATTCAGCCACCTCTGAAAAAGCCCATGACTGGGGGCTTGGGGGCTACATCTAGACACGAACGGTAGCATAACCCTATGAGGGCTCAGCTCTTTCCTGTGCCTCACGCCCAACGCACAGCTACTGCTAAAACTATCTGTAAATGACTCCTACTTAGCAGCAGAAAAGGAAGACATCTTCTTGAGGTTTGAAGAAAAACAGCTTCTAGGAGAGGACACAGCAACAGAAAACCTCGGAAAAGGGAAGAAGCTAGCTGTGTGTGTTGGAGGAACAGGATTAATGGAGGAAGTGATTCCAGCTCATCTACCAAGACACCACAGCTATTATCTAGAAGCCTGATACAGAAAAGAAGCCTTCTGAGACGCCGAGTGGAATAGCCAAGAAGAGGCTCCCAGCAGGTGGCTCATGGAAGCAGAGAGGAGACTGCCCGGATGGAGCAGGCACACGCACCCCCAAAACCCTGCTGAAGACTCAAGGACGGCAAAGGCGGAGACGTGCAGGCACCTGGGAGTGGCCTAATGGTGGTCGTCCCGATGACAAATGGGGGCAAGAGCCCTAGCACAGCTGACTATAGGGCACCTGAACCGGCTTAGAATGCAGACAAAACAGTGAGCACTTCTCCTCTAAAACATGTTCCTCATATCAGGTAAGGTGTTCTTGTTTGTTATTATCCTCAAAGGCAAGGGAGCAGTGAGGGAGATAATATCAAAACTATTCCTAATAGGGCCTGGGAGATGGCTCAGTAGAATAAGCGCTTCCCTGCAAGCACAAGGGCCTGAGTTCAATCTCCGGTTCTGCAAAACAAACAAACAAACAAACAAACAAACACAACTATTCCTAATAATACCAACAACTCGAAACTGAAGGGCTCCAAGAGGGCCATATCCTACAGTGGCAGTGGAGACCTCAAGCAGCAGTCCAAGGTGTGCCACAGAGCTCCCAAAAGGCACAGAAATTTGTGGTACTTGATACCTCTGGAACACCAAGAAAACACAAGAATAATACAGCACAAAAGACAGCACAAGTTTCTGGAGGGAAACAACAGGCTTCAAACTAAAGATCAAGAACAGAATAACCAGAATAATAATCAGAAATTCTCAGGAGCAACATAGGAAGGCAGAACACAGGGACGAAATGCCTTTAAAATCCAGGGGGAAATTCATTTCAGGGTTTTTGGGTTTTTTTTTCCTGTATTTTAGGGAAGAGTCTACAGGGTGTTCAGAGTCTCACTTACTACTAGATTGGACTCATAGTGATCTGCCTGTTTACAGCCTCCCAAGAGCTGGGATTACAGACACATGCCACCACACCCAGTTTCAACTGTGGTCTCAGCATGCCCCGGGGGCAGAGCCAGCACAGCAGGCCTGGGGATCGAACCCCCAGCCCCTGCGCCTGCTTGCAGGCGCTTTAATCTGCTTAACTATTTGGCTGGCCCTCTCATTTCAGTATTTAATTCAAAGTTAAATTCATTAATCAAAACCTGAAGGGAGCATAAGGACATTTTTAGATAAGAACAGGCTCAAAAACCCACTCCCTTCATATTTCTCATAAAGCAACTGAAGGAGGCGCTTCACCAAAATGAGGGCACAGGTCAAGAAACAGGAAATTATGGTGAGATTGTTCCCTGGAGATCTGATGGTGGTGGGGGAGATCTCTAGGAGACACCAAAACTGTGTGGAGGTGCTGAGTAGAGATTTACATATTTGGGGAAAGTCGGGGTTAAACTTACATGCTCATGGTAGGAACTAGATTATAGGATGGAAAAGCCACTCAAGTACTGGCAACATCTGATGCAATAAATGAACCACAGTGCATATGGTAAAGGTGAAAAAGATAAACACTCAAGAGCAACAGGGAAGAAACAGCTGTCAGTGAAGAACACAAGCTTTCTTCTGCGCAGGCATGCAGCAGCCTGAGTACACACATCATGCAAACAATGCGCATGATGCCCCAACACCATGGGGTGGGGTGGGGGGGAGTCTGCTTTTGTAGATAACCTGGGGATACAGTTTTGGCAGGAGGTCAGATGGACAGTCAGGACATTAAAAACAGCTGCACCGCGCAGCAGTGAAGACCTCCGTTAAAATACAC